TTCCAGACGCTGGGTTGTCAGATATTACCAATCCTTTGTCCAAAGCAATCTTTCTCAGATCGGATAGTGGGTAAGTCTTGTTACTAACCAGGACTGTGTCAGATTGCAAATCTTGTAGGTGTGAAAAGATGTTCCTAGCTGAAAGCGGAAAAAATTACAGTGTGATTAAGATCACCTTTCTAAAGGTGAACAGTTTTGACTAGTTAAGGAGATGTGCTTATACCAGCATCAAGGCCGAACGTTCATTTTTTTAAAGTATAAACGAAGGTGATAATCACCCAAATATCATTACGCCTAGATAACAAGGAAAACTTCATCTCTTCAATAAGCCTTTTCGTTAATGCTTAATTTATATTTTCCATCGATCATTTGGTAGAGCACTTTTCGGTCTGTGTAATCTCGCACGTAAGAAATGTTAAGACATAGGTATAAGACCCAAGTCAATCTAACTTACACGCACACTACAAACAACGCACCTCACAAAAGGTTGGCTAAAAAACCCATTACGGTAGCTCTATTCAGACCTGAATTTCAACGATTAAAACTTTTAAAACCCTTTCAGCTTCATCTAACAGATCGCCTCAAATTGTCCAAATTTTGGTTAATGACATGTGAAGTTTACACGCAAACAAAAGATAGCGTTGTCCAATTAACTTTGCTGTATTACATTTTTTTAAAAAAAAAAAAGATCATTTCAGCTATTTCTGTTGACATCCTTTAATTTTCTTGCACAATGAGATCGAATCATGACATAATGTCCCCCCCCCGGGGGGGAGGGGGTACTTCCTTATATAAGCCATATAGGTATGTGCCGTCCCAAAGGGTAGCGCCTTTTCGGTCAAAAAACGGTTATGCATTTTGCTGATTTTGGTCTGGAATCGGGTATAGTTTTCGAGGGAACTATGGGAGTGTATGAACGTATTTTTCGTTTCAATTTCAAATGAATAAGAAAGAAAGAGTGACATACGAACTGAAGTGGATTTTAAGAAATCTTTTACTTGGCGTTCTAATTAAAGTAATAATGAAATAATTTCTTAGAGACTAGGTCTGAAAACGGGTACAGATTTTGGAGGCCAGGTCTGAAAACAGTTGTGGAAAAATAAGATAAGGATTAAGAGAACCGGGCGGCAAACACCCGCCAAGAAATCCCAGGAGTACCCTCACGGGGATAATTCCTTCTTAGGGCCTGTTTACATGAAGGTGGGGGACCCCAGGTAGGTGAGGTAACATGTACATGCATGCAACATGCAAACATGCAAACGTGATCACCTTAAAATGACAGATTATATGGACAGGCGGGTTACCTCATATACCTGGGGTCCCCCACCTACATGTAAACAGGCCCTTAGAGTGTCCTATGTGTCCAACATTGGCTTACTTCTTACAGCATCGTTTGATAAATGACTTCATTCTAACCGGAAGCCTCCCGTGTCTTTTCTTAGTACATGTTCTGATTCTGCATTAGCTGAACAGTGAAAGTCTTTCTTTATCGACAAAGACACGAGAAAATTTAACTGTTTGCAGCCCAATGGTACTCTGAATCTACCCTCAGAGAATTCCGGTATCCTGTATCCTCAATTGAGAAATTGCCACCAACTAACGGATGTCAACTGTTACTATCAATACAGTATCTTGCCCAGTATCCGGACACTTCAGTTTAACATTGCAATAACTTTCCTTTGTTAGTCGCAAGAGCTCTGAACTTTGGCCCAGAGAAAATCTATTTAGTCCTTAATATGACGAAAGACAGTTTAATTTTTTTGCCTTTGTTTCCATCGCGAAATTAATATTTTTGCAGTGCTCCTATGTTGCCCAGTATCCGGACAGCTGGCCCAGTATCCGGACACAACAATAACAACGTAATTGTACATAAATTTCGACAGGCAAGCGCCTTATAAGCTTCTCTTGCACTTGCAAAGTAGTCTGGCAGTCGATTTCAAAAATATAACCTAGTATCGTAAAATAAAACATAACTAATAAAACATAACAAATGACTGGGGTATGGTAGGGAACGCGAGCGGTTGTTAAATGGCATAATTCTTACTTCCTTGTCTAGGGACTTTTTCACTGATTTAAGGAAGGCATCCGTGGACATGCCGAAGCCGCGGTTTGCTAGCTCAATTAGCCAATCTGCAAACGACCTTTTTTCTTCATTTTTTATTTAAAAAAAAAGCTTGGGGAAGGAACCTCAACGCGACGGTCAAACGTCACTCTCCTATTTAGTCTGACCTGCGGTGTTGATTTCTTCATGCTCAGCCCTACAGACCCTACTATAAGCCTGCTTTTCTAGCACTAATTCCTCCTCCTTTCACATCTCTCAATCCCTTTGTGACATTTTCAGACCTTTGCAACCCCATTCTAGCAGTTACAACTGGGGAAAGCATGAGAATTCCAGGTTCAACTCCGACGCTTTCGGTTATATATAGAAAATGCAGTCACGCGAAACAAGCGGCGCACACGAAATCAAGTCGCCTCCGAATGAGTGAAGAAAATTTCCGTACGGAGTTAGTAGAATTACATTTTACGACTATATCATATATCCTAAGCTTTAATTATAGTTATAGATATGAAATAAATCTTATGCGGATAATGTACACAGCTAATTCATCGATTCTGTACAGCAAAGAAAAACTGTCCGGATACTGGGCACCTGACATCAATACTTAGTGAATGTTTCAGGGCTCCGTTATTCCAAACAAGAAGAATGAATAAAATCGCCAAAACCTTCATCTTAAAACTGAAATGTTCAGCTTTCATTCGAAATACTTCGTTTACCGATAACTGGAAAAGGCGCCTCAAAAATTGAGTTTTTGTTTTAAGTGTCCGGATACTGGTACCGTCCGGATACTGGGCACATACCGTACTATACAGCTCATAAGATAGCCATATAGCTTACTTGATAACCTCGTTTAGAGTTTGTACCTGTGCTCTTAAATCCACCGCCAGCTTCTATTTGCCGAAGTGTTTGTCAGCTTTGCTGCCATTAATTACCGATATAGCGAATCTTTCTTTTGCTCCCGTTTATGGATCTGATCTGATCTTATGTATAGAGTTCCCCAAGGATCTGTCCTTGGCCATTACTTTGTATCTTAATTAATGATTATTACGTATACATCTTCTTTTGGTGAAGTTGAAAGAAGACATAACAGGTCGTATACACGTTCCATTTCAAGGCAGGTGACTCTCCAGTTTACTTTTCATTTGACTTTAAATCATCTGTCCTTGTGCAGAGAATAGAGCGTTTTCACATGACGTCATAGCGGCCATATTGGTGTTCCACAACAATGAAACGGGGGCCATTTTGGTGTTTCAAACTAATCCTGTGGGAGTTGAACTCTTATCTTATGTAAACACGTACCTTCTCAAATTTGCATAGATGTTGGCCACGTGAGTGAAAACTCTCAAACGCTCTATAGAGGCGCCTTTACACGATACTATGACACTGATCTCTTTGAAGAGACTTAAACCTTATGGAAAGAACATATCCGCATTTTATCATTGGGATCGCAACATTTCGCAGCGTCTCAGCTTCCTTATTTTACAGCGGTTAATGAATCTATTATAAAACCCTCACAACCCAGTAACATTACGGAATCTTTCGAGGATAAGTACCTTTCTTGTCCTCAATCATGCCGTCCAACTCCTGAGAAGCTTTACGTTTTCTTCCTGTTAAAAAAAGGACGAAAACAGCCTATTGTGGTGAATAGGAATCAATAAGATAATCATACGCGTAAAGTGCTGCAAATTAAGACTACGACAGACGGTTGTGACCGTCGTCATTAGACGATTTTCTCCAAAACAATACCGCGAAAAAAATTACAAACGTTGCAGTTTTTTGTATCTCCAAAAAGGATAAAAATGAATTCCCGAAAATCTTTATCAAAATTTCGGGGAAAAAAAGAATGTCTGCGACCGTTTTGCGTCGTTTTGACAATTGACCACTCCAGAAAATACCATAACATACCATAATGCTCTTTGTTTGTCACTCACCCCAAAATTTTGCATAAGCATTATCTTCAGTTTCTCTTGGGAGTTAAAATGGCCCCAAGAGAAACTGAAAACAATGCTTACGCAAAATTTTGGGGTGACAAACAAAGAGCATTATGGTATGTAATGGTATTTTCTGGAGTGGTCAATAGGGAGCATGAGCAAAGGCGTTTTTGAGCGGCGCACGTCTACCGGAAGCGGAATTTTTTCATTCTTGGGCAGTTGTTTTGGTTACCGTTGCGGGTTCTAATTTTTGCGATTTTTCCAGCGATCCCCAAAAATAAGTTCCCGCGAATAAAAATTACCGCAAACATTTACTCCAGAGTATATATTCTTTAACTTAAATTCCTACACAAAAATACAATACTAAGAAATCGTGTCTGTTCAATTACAATTTGCCTCTTTCATTCAAAAACAAAACGGTACATTATGTATACAATGAAATACTGGTTTTACATAAATGTAAGGTACGCATACCGTAGTATTGTTTGAAATATGCATTTCTATTGCACGTACTTAACAAAAACGAAAATATTATCAATGCTGGGTCCTGGGTACTTTCTGAAAATCGCAAAAATTAATTCCCAGCAAGAAAAAGCAATATGTCCTAATCGCAAAAATTAGTTCTCGTAAAACAGAAAAAATCGCCAACCGCAAAAATAAACTCCCGCAAACACTTAGCTATACAAATTTGGTAAAATCAAGGCGTATTAAAAGAAAAAAGAGCTCAAAAAAGCCTTTGCTTACATACTACGTTCGTTTTTAACATAAGAAACTATAATTTGCATATCATTAGCCTCCCACGCAGACGTTCTTAGGGCTTCGTCAAACGTTCCTTTCCAACGAACGTCGTTCGTGGAAAAGGAACGCGTGACGACTGATGACGCCCTAAGAACGTCTGTTTGGAGGCTAACATACCTCGACTCAACCTGATCATCTTGTTAACAAGCTCTTTTGCCTGCTCGGCCCAGTTGTATTTCATTCCATAGGAATCGCGCAAGAATTTCGCTTCCTCAAGTCCTCAAGTCTTCCTTAGCCCATACTTTCTCAATGCATGCGGTCCAAACGATGGGGTCCTCTGACTCTACTACAAAGGATGAACCATGTGGTACACATTGTAAAGCTTCTCCAAAACCGGAGTTGCCGCTGACGAGAACAGGGAGACCAGCTGACAAGGCCTCCAGTCCTGTCAATCCAAAGCCCTCTGTTCTTGAAGGCATGACAACAAGATCCACTTCTTGAAACAAGCGCCTTAGACTCTCTCGATCTTGAACAAATCCTCTTACTCTCAAGCGACTTGGAGGAACACCACATTCGGTAAACCGTTTTGATATTTCTTCGTGTTTTCCATCTGGAGCCCCAACAAAGACAAGACGAGTATCTTCTAACTCAGCAACCGCTTTCCCAGCGATGTCAAATCCTTTCAATTCGAAATCCTCTACGTCTCCACGACCAAACACCAAGACACTGTGTTGTTGCCTTTCGCTCAGAGCTTGCTTCACAGCCGCAAATTCTACAAATAATCCTGGAGTTAAGTCAAGGACATTGTCATCTTTTCGGCAGCTGCGAAGATACGAGCGAAAGGCCTCGCTACGGCCAACCCCAACAACATGATCTGCCATTTCACACAGTTCTATTTCGGTCTTGTGCTTTTCCTCGCCTTTTGACATTGGATCTGAATAGTTTTTAAACATTCTAAGTTCCTCTGGATCTGCGTGCACTACTTGAACCCATTTGCACCACTTAGATTTTTTAATGATTTGTGCCACTTTACCGAGTTTAACTCCATGGCCTACGATAATGTCGATTTGTAAATCGTCAGGCGGAAAGAGAAGCCAGTCCAGAGACTCAAAGCCAGGCACTGGTGTTGCCTCAACGATCTTTACGTTATGCTTGAAGGCTAACCTCTTGTCCTTTGGACTGCATATTGGTAAAAAGAAAGTGATTTCCACTTCAGAGCATTTGGCCAACTGAATGGCTAACTCCCTGTTTATGGTGGAAAGTCCCCCTTTACTTGATCCCCATTCAGAAGCCAAAATAGTGACTTGCACTTTGCGAGATCCATGCACATCCTCCATGTTTATTTGAGCTTTCTGTAAAGCAGATGCCCTTGCCAAATATCAAAGTTCCCAGACATCTTCAAAAACAACAAAAAAAACAAGAAAAATATTATTATACCACATATTTAATGAGGCTGTATCAGTGTTAGCGAGGTAAACTTTCTATGAAACCTTCTACTATTTAAAAATTGTTTTACAATTTTTAAGAGTACGGCTAGCCTGCTCTTAAGATGAGCCTCAGAAGTTGTCTTGGTAAGGTTTCTTAGTTATAGTTACTCACAGTATTGACGGTATTTTAGATTTTACAGTTTTAACAGTTTTTAAGTGCATTATTGTTTTTAGACATTTTTGAGGAACATTATGTAACTACACCTTTTGCTGTTCATTACGAGAAAATACGCAATCATTTGGGTGAAACGGCGACCAAAAGTGCGAAGATACATTCATAAGCGCGAAAATACGAACATTTGTGCATAAATCAGATTAGCCGCAATCGTCGACAAACACAAATTGGTGGAGTACAGTGTGGATATTTAAACCTGGTAGCGTAAAAATTCTAGGCTCGATTTCCGCCGTCTCCCGGGTCCGGTCTTTGATCCTCCCCGAAGAGAGACTCTTTCGGGGGATGAGTGCTGGCTCATTTTCCCGAACAGCGGCTGGTAATCGAACCTATAAAAATTCAGGCCAATTGGTATTGTTTAATCGAAAATCGATTTTGTGTTTTGAATGTAAGGAACGCTCAATTGATTGTACAAGCACGTTAATGTTTGTTCTATTCATCCTAGGTTGTCCAGGAATGCTGTTGAATTGCAAATTGTGTCATAAAAATGTTAATGAATAATGTTTGCACCTTAATGTTTATCTGTTGTCCCTATTGATTTCATGATGGTGTTAATGACTTCGATGTTAGCGATAGTGAAAGTATATTTTTCTCCTTTTGTATGCCGAACGACACATATGAATGCCCAAAAGTGTTATTAAATGTTGATTAAAATGCAAAAATCATTAGTAAATCTGATTTATACGCACGTATCTTCGCGCTAATGAATGTACCTTCGCACTATTGTTCGCCGTTTCACGCAAATGATTGCGCATTTTCTCCTAATGAACTGCAAAAGGGGACCGTGTAGTTAGTTTTTAGCTAGTATGACTGATGTAAAGCTACCATGAAGAAATACTGTCAATAAATCATCATTATTATTTTTTATTATTATTATTATTATTATTACTATTATTATTATTATTATTATTATTATTACTATTATTATTATTATTATTATTATTATTATTATTATTATTATTATTATTATCATCATGAGAATCTGTTGATTGGAAAACAAAAAAAGTGTCCGCCGGTGAATACAGACTAGAGGTGTGAGGTCACAAAAATTCAAATTTGTAAAATAACAGGATTTGTTGACATATCCAGAAAGACCAAGATGAAATACCGGTATGTTCACTTGCCAGAAATGAGTCTGTTGGTTCAGATTAGCGAGGAGATAAAAGTATTGTTGTACTTCGAAGACTCCATGGAAATCCTTCTAAAATAGAGCGTATTCACTCAGGTCGCCAGACTCTATGCAAATTTACTGGAACAAAAGAAAGCATTTAAATGAGAAAAGAGTTCAACTCCCACAGGATCTTCTTGGCACACCAACATGGCCGCCGTTTAACTGTTTTGGAACACCAATATGGCCGCCGTGACGTCATGTGAATACTCTCTACAGGCCTGGATCGTAACATTACGTAACGCGGTGTCAGCATACCAGTGTCCAGACCTACCGTTTGTAGACCTATAAGACGGTTGCTTATAAAGAACACTCAAGTCTCTACTTTAAATAATTTGTAAATATAATTTTCAGTGCAAATGGAAATGAAATTAATTTGTGCCCTTCAACCACCAAACAGAGCATGCAGTAGTCAATGCAATACACCTGGCCCCAGTTGTTCAAAGGGTGGATAGCGCTGTGAACCTCTTGAACAACTGTAGACTGGATGGTAAATCATGCAGCTACAAAAATTACATTTTCATTAGTTATTACATACCTAGGGTTTTTGACTATTTTTTCTGTCTCAATGACATGTCACATGATGTCTTCTACACCTCATTGCAACCAACCTGTGTATTCAACACCATATATTGTAGATTTCTAAATTAAATTTTTGCACATTTACAGCTAAAAATAATGTACATGAAATAACTCAATGTCCTTTTAAGGTGGCTGAACACAGTTTTGGCAGTTTGTGAGTATATGTTATTTGGCAAATCATGGCAAGAGAAAGATTGCAGCTCACAAGCTGAAACTTGGCAAGTGAAAAATAAATTGATGAAAGATTTTGATTGACAGGTAAAATGTGACGTTTTCGTAGTTTTCATGGCAACATGAACGATTGAATACAACCTTAAAATTTCACTTTTGCTCAGTTTACATAAAGTTCGCTCATTTGATTTTCCTATAAACTTGCACACAGCTTACTATAATTAATCATTACCATTTAATTTGAAACTTATTTGACCAAATTTTAACAGACAAGTTTTTAGATAATCAATAATATAATTGTACTGTAATTATTAGATGTGTCACAAAATTTGTCTGTTCAACTTCCATTTTAAAGTTCTCATTATTTGAAAATACGATAAAAGGAAAAATTCTGCCAAATATCACAAGATTTTAATGAGCAGATTTTCAGAAATCGTCTTCTGTGTACCACTGCCTTTTTCGCCGCCATGTTTGCTTGTCTAATTTAAAACGCGCGCCGCCACGCGAGTTACTGCTGACCGCACGCAAAACTGTGTTCAGCCACCTTAAGTACATTACGTAAACCCATTCGCCCCAGGACCTTTGCCGGAAGACGTGTTGTAAAGCTAGTCGAAGTGACCGGAAACTTACCAAAAAGCCGTTTGCAGTTTGTGCAGTTCGTGACACAACAGTCTTGACATTTACCTTTCACCTTTCTTGCCCGTTTCCTTTTTCCTTTTGCTGGGCACTTACTAGCCTTCATTTCGGTGGAAAATATTTTTGGGAAAGAGTTTAGGATCGCAGGATTAGATGCATGGAAGGAAGTGCGGGTAGGTAGTAATCATGGTAATGGCACAAGCGTTACAAATAATGCTAATCCAGAATTTACTTTTAACTCAAAAGCTTTCACTAGTGGACACCACAAAGAAACAATGACTTTTTCTTTTATGTCTACCTACTGTCTTTGCTCCTGACAGCCAATTCCAAAAAACTGGTTTTTTTTCATTGAAAATACTTTTGACTTATAAATATGCTTAGTTTTTTACCTAGATGTATGTAAAGTTCCTTTTCTTTAACATGCTTATTTCCTATTTGCCAGTCTCACCTTATACATATAACAACGAAGGCATGCTTATTGCATCAGATATTCTTAAAATAGCAACTGTCATTTTCAGCTCAAAAAGTATTGTTGTTGTTAGTGAAAAGAAATACATGTATCCAAACTTACTACTGACTAAAAATACATGTTAGTATTTACTGCTATAATTTAGATATTTTAAGGGTGTAGTTAATGGATTCATATATTTAACACTTAAATCCCAATATCCACATACAAATTCTCCAGGCTGATCTCTATATATTTCCTTACAGAAAAATTATTTGAGAGAATTTGATAAAAGATCAAATCATTTTCCTTTTGGTGATCACGATTTTATTAATTCCCACAACCCAATCTATTGACAAAATATGTACTGGTACTGTTAGGAGTAGTAAACTTGACACTCTTGGGACTTGAAAGGTTTAAAGTGCAAAATATTCCGCCATTTTTTTCGAGCTCTATCAAAACACAGCAGAGCTACATGTACCGAATCTGCTGTCCCCTTTTTGTTCAATATCACAGCTAGGGATATAGATCTATAATAGGTGCGAGTCAGGGAAAATGAACGGCTGTCAACCTGATTTTTCCAGCTGAAAAACATTCCAGTCTTTTTAAAGACTGCAAAAAAAAGGCAACTGTTTTCTTCTCATATTGCCCGCCTATCAAATGCCATTTCCTGTCTCTTAAAAATTTAAGCTACATCCCTGATACACCTGTATCAGTATACTGAAGCTGACATCAACAGTCTATCTTTTAAACATTGCGATCTAACTTCTCATATATTACACAAATAATGGAGAATAAAAAGTGGAAAAGTGCGAAGATACATTCATAAGCGCGAAAATACGAACATTTGTGCATAAATCAGATTAGCCGCAATCGTCGACAAACACAAATTGGTGGAGTACAGTGTGGATATTTAAACCTGGTAGCGTAAAAATTCTAGGCTCGATTTCCGCCGTCTCCCGGGTCCGGTCTTTGATCCTCCCCGAAGAGAGACTCTTTCGGGGGATGAGTGCTGGCTCATTTTCCCGAACAGCGGCTGGTAATCGAACCTATAAAAATTCAGGCCAATTGGTATTGTTTAATCGAAAATCGATTTTGTGTTTTGAATGTAAGGAACGCTCAATTGATTGTACAAGCACGTTAATGTTTGTTCTATTCATCCTAGGTTGTCCAGGAATGCTGTTGAATTGCAAATTGTGTCATAAAAATGTTAATGAATAATGTTTGCACCTTAATGTTTATCTGTTGTCCCTATTGATTTCATGATGGTGTTAATGACTTCGATGTTA